CCCCGCCCCGCCGCCGCCCAGACGAAAACAAGCGGGACGGAACGGCGCCCGCCCTCCGCTCCCGCGGCACCGGCGCTGGGCCTCGCTGCGCGGCCTCCGGGAGGAGGCGGGCAAGTCTTTTGCTGGCCCCGAGTTGTTTCTTCTCTTCCTTTCAAGGTGTGTTAAGAGTCATCAGTGGCTCTCACAGCTTTTCCGGCTCAGTCAGAATGGCTGAGTGAAAAATTCACGTCAGCGCAACTTTTGGTTCACGCTCTTCGTGCAATTTCGGAAGAGCTGCTTCACGAAAACAGCTGGTGGCTCATGGTGAAATAGATTTCCTTTAAGAACAAACGATGTCAGAAGGCTTAGCACGCGAGACACAAGGTAGCACTTGGGCAGTTACAACTTAGTCCCGTTGCAGCCTGTAACTGCAATAAAACTGCGAGCAGCTCCCTCCCAGGCTTACACTTAAACCAAGCCCCCAAATACTGAGTGCCGCCTTTCGAACTATTTAAAAGATCCACTCAGAATTGACAGCAGCTCAGGTACAGTGTGCACTTGTTATTTAATACGCCAAAATAACGAGGATGAGTATTTCTGTTACAAACTATCTTTTCCTGGTAGGGATCTTTTCAGTCTAAACCCAGTTTAGGCACAGATTTACCAGCTCACTGAGAACTCTTGCTGAAATGATCCTTATGCTTCCAGCAGCAGCGCTAGCTCACCTTGAGGGATTTCCAGGAGAGCAGGACAGTCTGCTTTTCCTTGCCTTAGTCTGAGCACCTCGCATCACCTCTACTGGCTTGTAAATCCTTGGTAATTCTACACCGTTTCCTTCCTCAGTGCTGCCAAACCAGTCAATTTGGGCATGAAGTGCAGGAGGATTTCTCACAAGGAAATCTTCTTTTTTTTTTTTTTTTTTTTTTTTTTTTTGAATGATGATAGTGGCCTGCCTTTGTTAACGGTGGTTCCTTCCAGACACAGCTAAACCAAATCACATTCAACTTGTGAGACAGGAGTGTATCATATTGAATAATAATGCTGAATAATTTCTCAAAATACATATAAAGTTTTCCTGTCTAGGGAACTGTAGCAGCTCTTTTGGCAACTTTTTTTGGTATATAACGTGTCTGGTTTTATCTGCCTCTTTCTTTTTTTGGTTTGAGGGAGTGATTCTCCAGGATTTTCTCCTATTTCCATTTTTTCTTATACATGTTTCTCAAGGCTCCTCAGTGACATTCCTTTTAGTCCAGTGCCCTCTATATCATATTTAAATCTCCAAATGAGATTGAAATGCCATTTTCAAGGAGAAACCTCATAGGTATCAAGCAACGTGCTGCTTCAGTTGAACAAAACTGATGTCCTGGTGCCTGTCAATTGCTGCCCTCCCTTACCACCATGCTGAACATTAACAGAATGGTTCAGGATAGGCTTTAGTCACCTACAAACCAGGGTCAGGACAACTGCTCGAGTATTTCACAGCTTTACACCCTTACACTTAAAACCTCATGCAAGCCCCAAAGCTCACTGGAGAGCATATATGTTTCTAACTTACAATAATGAAAAGAACTGATGCCATGACTTGGGGAACATTTGAGTTTCCCAACACTGCACTGCTCTGGCCTGCAAACAGCTCGGCTGTTCCTGCCTTCGCAGAGGAAAACTTCTATCCACAGGAGTTCAAACAGCAATGCATAAATGAAAAACATGGTCAAAACCTTAATTTCTGAAATGTCTTTGGTTTCCTTGAAGTGTCTGATGATGACATTTCAGGGCTACCCTGTAACTTGACAGTGGTTTGAGTTTTCATTTTTGGGCAATATCCAGCCTGCAAATAAAATGAAAAGTCATTTAAATAGCTAACAAACTTCCATCAAGGTTCCTCTAGTCCCATCCCCTTGAGCAAGCCACTTGCATGCCCCACACCATCAGAGGGGCACCTTGTCTGACCTCAGTGTGTGGAAAGAGGGTGAAGAAAAACAGCCCCGAACTTGGAACAAGCCTAAGGAGTTTAATTCAGAAAATGCAGAAATCTGAAAAAATGCGTGCACATTTACACCACAAGTAAAGCCTCATTTGACAAGGCTCTGTTTTAAAAAACTCAGCATCTTCCTTTCCACTCAGAGCGTGGTATAAAGGAGGAATATGGTATTTCATGGAGATCACAGGTGACCTGGAATAGGAGCTTTAGACCAGAGGATTTGTTCCCATCCAGGTCAGTTCTAAAAAACATTTACCTTAAGAATGCATGTGCTCTCTGAAAAACTAATGGGACCATTGCGGTGTTCCAGTTAAACTGGTACCTTTCCTGGGTGGGATCTTAATTATTTTAGCTGGAAACCTAAATATGTCAGCGGTGTAATAATAACGCTAACCACAAGGGTTTTTTAAATATAAAACATACATGTTTCATGAATGCTGAGGCAGAGACACTAACACAGAGGAAAAGTAGGGCATTTGCCAGCTAAGACATCGGATCCTATTGTGTTATTTTTCAATATTAATGAATAAGTAAACACAAATAGGCTACTTGTTGTTAGGTGAAGAGCAGCTGTCAAAACCAAACCCAGGCAGCTGTTCTTGCTTTGAGAGTTCACTGTAAAATGTTTTTTACAACTTGAGTAATTTGAAAGTTTGCTCTATTGGCTAAATGCCTGGCCAAAAGATTTTGAAAATATTACCAGGAGTTCTTTCAAGGAGAAAAGTGTTGATTGACTTACAGTTGTAAATAAGATTTTGCCAAGGAATACAATTTCAGAGGAAGATATCAACAACACATCTGTTCTTTAGCTCCTGCTTGCACCAGTTGTCCATACAATAACAGCGTATTAATTTTTTGAAGGTGCAAATGCTCACAGAACTGGTAGTTTAAAGCAAATAGGTTAATAAACATGATTTCCCTCTCTGTTTTATGTTTTAGGAGAAATGACAGATGGCTGCAAATAAACAGTCACAACAAAGTTTGATGATAATAAAAATAGATATACTATGATATTCATGCTGCCAGAATTAAGTACTCAAGTCATGTGGCTCAAAGAGACAAAACCTGGAACTGGTTTACTCCTAGAAACAAGGCAGATCATTTATAGCCCAGCCTAAGAAAGAAATCCATCAGGGCTTAACAGATAATAATAACTTTTCTGAAGAGTTTTTAATTGATATTTCAGATTCCTTAAGAGGAAGATAATTCTCTTAAATTCTTAAAGATTGCTCAAATTCTATAGCAAAATTATAATTTTCTATTACTGCTTAAACACCTTTAATGCAGCTTCTCAAGTGCTACTAATTTCTTTGCAGCACTATTGCTTTCATCCCTATTAAAGCTGATAAGACTATGCTATGAGGATTTGTATTAAGGCGATTTGAAGATGTCATTAAGAAGATCAGCCCCCTTTGCCTGTCAGGCTGTTTCCTGTTAAGAAAGTTAACTCCCCCTTATTTTGTCATTTGGGACAGTGCTGAGAACAGAGACAAAATATTTGGAAAGCCAAGATATTGCTCCTTTAAACCAAGACCACCATCATTCCCAACAGTGTGGGGAGAAGCTCCAGATTTTATACTGTCAATTTTGAAGCAACATTTAGGGGAGAGAAAGTTATGAACTTCTTTGGAGAGTGTTGTCTAGGCTTGGCCTTATGCAAAATCATTTAGGGGACAGAATTTCCTCTTTGAAACTTCTTACTGAACCTAAGAGTCGTGACCAAGTTCATCCATCCCCTTAACCCTGTTTGGCACTGCATGGCCCTGAATACAGGATTAGCTGGCTGGGAAAGAATAAAAACAAGGGTAGGTAGTTGGGAAAGCATTCATGGTGGCTAGAAAGCAATGCTTCAGCATGGCAGGCTGCTTCTCTTGACCTCTTACTCAACAGGAATCAAGCAGATAAATAGGGATTCCTGGGAATAGAAAGTCCTAGGGAAGCTAATTGGTTTTTGTCATGTTTCAGGAATGAGGTCATACCTTGATCACTGAAATCCTCTGCTAGGGAACAACCAGCATGGT